ATTTTTTATATCTACTTCTAAAAATAATTGTTAATTACGAGCTTCAAACTTTAGACCGTCCTATTGTTTAAACTTTTAATTTTACATAGCTGCTTTACCAAACTTTCTTATAGAAATTTTATGCTTTACATTTTTCTCCTATATCTAGCTTAGTTTCCCGACGAGCAGTAGAAAAAGCTAATGAAAATTTAACTAATAAATATATAATCAATAATTTATCAAGTTTACACGTAGACCGTTTGCTAATTTGTTTTACTAATTAACAACATATCTTGTGAACAACCGAATAATTTATTCGTAAGAATGCATTAGTTATGAATAGGTAGACTTTACTTCGTCTAGTTTTAAGGATCAAAAATGGGTTAGTTATTTTATTAAAGGTGTTGAAACAGTTATAACAAGCACATACCTTGCAGTTACTGAAATGTAAAATTACCGAAATATATTGTGGTACTTGTTTATTATAAAATATTATTTACTATAAAAGTAACAGTTATGCTATTTAATTTAATGTAGAAAATACAAAACAGGTGTGGCACTCTGGCGTCTAATAATTATATGTATGAGCTACGACAATTGCGATTACGACGAACTAGAAATTACGCACCAAAATTGCGTGCTGATTCCTTTAGAAACAAATGTACTGTTTTTGTCAGGCTTACAAACAGTATGCATTGGTATTAAGTTTACTAAAAAACCAAATAAGTTCATAATAAGTAGATGTAGTTCTAAAAGTGAAAACGTATCTCGCCTAATTTCTTAAACGTTTTTAGGGTTTTGTACCTCAAAAAGAAAAATCTTTTATTTTTCTAGAGCTTTTTCTACCCCCTGAGTTATCGGACACCCTAAAATATAAATGAGTACCTGAATTACACGTAGGCTAAATTTTACTGTCTTAGCCCAAAGTTGAAACAATATTTTAATTTTTAGTGTAAAGTACATCAAAATTTTCGACTTTTATAGTTAATGTTCAATATTTCAACATGAATTAAAAGAAGTATGACCCAATAAATATCCTAAAATATCAATACAGTTGATAATTAGGCTGAAATAGTACCTGAATGGATCTTAGAGTAGAAGTTACTGTCTTAACCTAGCGTTGAAATTTTCGATAAGTATTAACGTTCAACTTTTAGTGTTGTACGTAAAGTACATCAACAAAATTCCCAACCTCAAAAAGAAAACAGAGCTCCTATAGGACCATTTCCTTGTTTAAATTTTAAATTAATCGATTACGTTAAAAACTACCCGAACCGGGGGCAATTTTTTTTCTCTACCCCCTGAGTTATCTGACTCGAAATATCAAAAATCGGCAACTTATTGAAGGGCATTTAATTTTGGGGGTACCTGAATAGAATTTATGTTCATAAAAAAATAAGGAGTTTTTGTATCTTCATGGAGAAAACTAAACTTTTATCAACGCAAAAATTACGATTTTCGATTGTAAATAACTGAATTTGCCGTAGAAATAGTAGAATTTATTAAGTAACTTGTAATAATCTCAATTTTGACAAGTTTTTTAATTGTTACAATTTAATTTGTAATATCAATTACAATATCTACAAAATTTATTTCAGCTGGGATTTTATTTTT